TAAAGACTAATGTTAAATATCATAAAAGTTGTACATACATGTTGAATTAATTGAGTTAATCTAATGAGCATCTAAATTCATGATTTTTTTTATCAGTCATTTTGAGCCAAAATTTGATAACATAAAAGTGAATAAATTCTTGGACCAAAAACTACAAACTAAAATAAATTTCAAATACAACATTGCCATTACTTTTATTTTCAGTTATAGCTCAAATAATTTTGCTAAAACTTTTTTAAAAGTAAACAAAGAAACCTGGCCAACGTATTGGTTGAAGGCATCTGACCAGCGTTCAACTTCTTCCATTTCAGCCCTTGTTAATTCTCGCTTGTATATACCGTTAACGAAAAGTTTACCATTCTTAATACTCATAATTAAATTAATTATATGATTTTTATAATTTAAAATTAGCGGATAAATTTATTGTAGAAGTAAAAAGCTTGCTAAACTTTTGAATTTTAGTATTAGATATTGCATTCAAATACAAATTTCATTTCACTCATTACATATCCTAATTCAATACATATGACATGCAAGAAATTCAATTTTGTTAACAAATTCAAACTTGAATAGAACAAGTTTTTCCGCCTTTATTGAAGCTATAACTGTTGCCATTGGGAATTGGCACTGATCGTATTAGTACCACAGATGTTGAAATTAGTAACCTAAAATTAGAAAACAATAAACAAACGATATTAGAAATTCAATACTTTTGGGCTTTTTAACGAAAATGAATAAATTTATGAGAAATTGTTGAGAAATTAAATGCAATTACAATCGTAAAAACTCAGAACGAATGATCTGAGCCTAAGCCTAAGCCACACTTTCTACAAAATTTGAATTCTGAAGCAATTCGTCTGACATTGCAGTACTTATTGTATTTTGGTATTTGTGTGCATAATTTTTATATTAATTATTACACTGTGTGAAAAATATATTATCCCTCTACAAAGTTTTATATTTCGAGTGATTTTCTACGAGAAAAAATTTTGCTTGCTTTGATATTTTGATTTCGCACAAAAAAATAATTTTTGAATATTAAAAAAGAGAAAGTAAAAATAAATTTGCTAACTTA